CCCCGTTCCCCGGTGCCTGCCGCACGCGCCCGCTGCCTGACTTGCCCAGGTGGCCCAGGCTGAAGCCCAGGTCTTCCTGGTAGGCATCCTCTTCAATCTGAGAAGGGAGGGCCCGCAGTCAGGCCGCCTGCCCCGCCCCAGCCAGCCACCGGGGCGCCTCGGCCACAGGGAGCCCAGCAGTGACTGGCCAGCCAGCTCCAGGGCGGCTCCCTGTGTTGGGGCTGGCACGTGAGCAAGCTCTCATGGGATGGGCAGGGTGAGGGTGGGAGGGGGCATGCACAGCAGGACCCGGGAACAGCCAGCCGGCAGGGAAGGACAGGCCTGCAGGGCTGGGCAAAGCGGGCTCCAGTTCTGAGGGTCACAGAGACCCGGTTGGGGCTGACCTCCCCGAAGCTCATGCGGTTGGCCTGCTTCCGGATCTCCGTCAGCCCCAGCCGTTCCTTCATCTTGCGGTACCTGAGCGGAGCACAGGGGTCAGTGGGGCTGCAGGCTCTCCCTCCCGACTCCCCCATGGCCCGGCCTCACCTGCGGCCACCTCGCTTCTTTCGCTGCCCATCGAGGGGCGCGGGCAGCGGCTTCACCTGCTTGGCGGGTGGCGGCTCCTGCCACTTGTCAAACTTGCGCTCGATCTCGTCCTTCAGCTCGTAGCCCACCTGGGGAGGGCGGAGGCTAGGCAGCCACTCTGTGCGCCCCACGGGGCCTCGTGCACCCGTCTGCCGACCACAGTGCCGGCCCTGGGCTCCCTCCTTCCCCACCTGGGGAGGGCGGAGGCTAGGCAGCCACTCTGTGCGCCCCACGGGGCCTCGTGCACCCGTCTGCCGACCACAGTGCCGGCCCTGGGCTCCCTCCTTCCTCCTTGGGCCCTGGAGGGCCTTGTCCCCTCTAACGTAAAAGCTCACCCACAACCCGCGCCCCTGAACATGTGACTTGCACTCAAACCCTCTTGAGTTCTGCACCCCACATCTCCCGGGCCAGTTAGGCTCTACGTCATCTGTCCCCGACTCCACAGCCTCAGGGCCTCTGTGACGGCCATGCCCATGCCTGGAACACTGTCCGTGAGGACGCACGGGACTCGCTCCGACTGGCATCCGGGCCGGGGGAAGCCCCACGCTCGACCCGCTAGCTGAGCCAGCGGCAGACCTCCCTCACTGCCCCCTGGTGCCGGCGTTCCCCTCGCCCTCCAGGTGCAGCCCAGGCTCCCCTGCTGCCTGTCACCCTGCCCAACTAGAGGGCCAATGCCGTGAAGCCAGGGCTGGTCTGTGTGACTCACCGCTGTGTCCCCAGCAAAGGCGGGGAGGTGGGGGAGACCCGCCACCTGACGTGGTGCCAGGTGCTGGGAGAACAGTGACAGGCAGAAAACATGCCCACCTCAACGGGCCCAGGGAGGACCGTGCAAGCTAATTACCTGGGGGGCATCCCCTCCGGTTAGGAGAGGGACCCTGCTGGGGACGGTACACCCAGCGCAGGCACAGCCGACTCCCAGAGCCCGCAGTCATGCGCTCACAAGATGGCGAGACCCTCCTGGGTGACTGAGGTGGGCTGGGGGCACCCG